AAAATTTGATTTATTAAAAGGAAATGATATCTGTAGATTCTTTCCAGAATGGTGAGTTCATTCAGGATGTAGTTAAGAATTTCATCATTTTAGCTACACTCAAAATTTTATATGCACTTTCTTTTGCATGCATGTGTACATTATAAACTGTGTATTGGTATCTGTATTTAGCACTGTATTGATCAAGGTTTCTTTTTGGAACACATTATCTACCCCCTCATGCCACTTGAAGTAAGGGATTTATCCAAGCATACAAGAAACAGACTCTAGGTTTAGTGTCCACAAATGGCTACCAAGCCATCAAAGATACCGCTGCCTTTTCTCCAACTGGGAACAGGACAGAGAATTGGGAAGCTATCCCTTTAGCTGCCAGCTCCAGAAATGCCAGCCCACTGCTACAGTAAGGAATCCCATAAAAGCAGAAAATCATCATGACCAGCAATGGTAGCTATTATTCTCGCTAGTTTCTCCATGTCACCCTTTTGTCACAAGGACCAGCCTTACCTCTTGTCACATACAAAGCCAATGACTTAATACTGGACTTCTGCAAATACTGCCAGAGAAAAATCAAATACCTCCAGGGGAGTATTCACTGGTCAAAATTTCACCAGCAGCAGAAGTATGGCCTCTGCCTCAGTTCTGTTTGCCAAATACTGAGCAAGTACATCTAGGTTAGCCAAATATGTATCATGTCCAGAATTTCAGGAGTGATTGAGAAATATGGTTTTAGCTTTATAGCCGTAGCAGGGCAGAACACATTGAAAGAGGTTTGGAAGAAAAGTAGAAAGCCCATCTACTATATTTAAATATATTGTCTTATATACACATAAAAACACCATGAGTCAAATTTTTCCATTTTGTCTATAAGGAAACTAAAACTTAAAGAGTTTAAATAATTTACCTACAATCAAACCATTATAATTTCCACTGTATTTTCTAATTTTATCTCCACCTGACTTTCCCTTTTGAATTTTTTATTTGATTTTATTTTGTTTGAGACAGAGTCTCAATCTGTTGCCCGGGCTAGAGTGCCGTGGCGTCAGCCTAGCTCACAGCAACCTCAAACTCCTGGGCTCAGGAGATCCTCCTGCCTCAGCCTCCCAAGTAGCAGGGAATACAGGCATATGACACCATGCTCAGCTAATTTTTTTCTACATACTTTTAGTTGTCCAATTAATTTCTTTCTATTTTTAGTAGAGATGGGGTCTTGCTCTTGCTCAGGCTGGTTTCAAACTCTTGACCTCAAGCAATCCTCCTGCCTCGGCCTCCCAGAGTGCTAGGATTACAAGCGTGAGCCACCACTCCCAGCCTGATATTTCCTTTTTGAAAAATGGCTGATATTTTCCCTTCTCAATGTTTTAAACAGATAACTTTTAGTACACCCTGGAGGTAATAACTGGGGCACTTATACTCTTGATTTACTAAATAGACTATAGTGATTAGAATCCAGTTTTTCAGCAGTTTTTTTTTATCATCTTTATATCATTATGTAGCCTCTTTAAAAGACAACAATTAGAGTATTTTTATTAAAAATGTGTTGGGTTAGTGAAGAAAGCTGTATCATTTCTTTTTATTATAAATGTAGATGCTAAATACTTTATAGTTATATTTATGAAACAATAAAATCATTGATTTTATTTTATGTTGGAACCCTATTTTTTTTGTAATAGAATGAAGATAAAAAATGAACAGCATATTCATAATGGTAGAAATTAGGAAGAGGAAATCTGTAAATTTGAAATGATTAAAGTTCCATAAGAAGACAAGAAGGAGCCATTATTGTATTTTAAGACATTGTAATTTCATCAAATACATTCTGAGAAAAATAATATTTCCTACTCTTTCCTAGCTGGTGGGAGTTAACAAAGGAACAAATATGTCATTTTCTTACATAACTTCATCCTTTATTTCTGATATTTGCCATCAATAAGGTGAGGGTGTTGATAAAGAGAAGATTCAATAAGTTTGGCTATAGGTATCATAACCCCCATTGGCCTTCAAAATGCCTTTCCAAATTGCTTAGTGGTAAAGACATCCAAAATTAAGTATGTGATTATAAATCCTGCTAGCATTTAAATCTCTTTAATACCTCTGCTTTGCTTTGTGTGAATACTAGTTAGCTACATTTATCTAGATTAGTAAAATTCCTGCTTTAAAACTAATGTAATGAATTGATCATAGTTTTTAATTATTGGTGTTTCAAAAATGGAAAGGTGAAGAGGGTTGTCTTATTTATTTTCACCCTATGTGAACTAAGTAGACTAATTTCTTTAAAAAGAGAAAAAGTAAAAATATAACAGAATAATAATATATGTCTATAAATATGTGGTGATAGTTCTACATGTAATTAATGTAAGATATAATTAATGTGAGATGTAATTTTATCATCTAATTGTTTGACAAACACACATCATAATATCCTGACACATTTTAAGATGGCTCTTTTACAGGCTTTATAATCTTCTCTATGAAAATGATTTTCTTAAATGTGCTAGGTCTTTTAATCCACAATTTTCTTAAGCCTTTTCTTCTTCAAGTCTTTGTAAAAAAAGAAAAAAAAAATGCCTTTTTTAAAATTTTCCCATAGGTAAAATTTCAAGTATTTTTTTTAAAAAAGTAGATATAACATTGGTGAGGAGACTCTCAACCAGACATATTAAAATAATAATGTTAATAGTAGCCATCTGCTGCTTAGGGAACTGATCTTGGACAAGATCTCTGTGGTAGATATTTGATGTTTTTTGATAACCTATATTTCATTCTATCCTATTCAAATTATAGGTGGATTTCCTTTGGTGTACTCCTCTCCTCCAATTGTGTGGGATGGTGAATCTGTCCACTACGGATGCTAAAAGGCCAGATAGATCTTTTCTCTCACTTAGCACAGAGCCAGAGGTTGATCAGATATCTAGGCCCAGCTAACAGAATGTTCTCCTGGGTCTATAAATGTTGAACAATTGACATACTAACTAATGTATAGATTTCTTTTCACAAGGATGGAGCCCTAACAAGTTTGTTCTTGCTATGACATGACTCTGAATGTCCTATTGTTCTCTCCACTTAGTCTTTGTTCTTTCCTATTTTCAAACCTAGTTTTATGGTCTTTGATTGAATTTTTTTTGAACTCTAGTATCCTTCTTTTTTTTTTTTTTCAAGATGTTAGCCAGAGTCAGCTTAAACTTGCAACTAGAGAACCCTAAATGAATCAGACATGAGTGTGAGAGAACAGAATACAGGTAACAGATCATTAGGGAAATGTACAGTCAGTATTTGGAATCATCTCTTCAAGTATAAGAGAAAGAATGTATGTTTTATTGTTTCATTTTTTTTCTAGCATGAAAAATAATAGTACAAAGCGTGGAGGTAAAAGAATTAATATATTAATATTATTTACTGAAGCCCCGGGTATCTGGTAGCACCATAGAAAGTTATGAAGAGTATTAGAAATTAAAGGACCACAGGAGCCAGGCGCTGGCTCACGCCTGTAATCTTAGCACTCTGGGAGGCCAATGAGGGTAGATTGCTCGAGGTCAGGAGTTCAAAACCAGCCTGAGCAAGAGCGAGACCCCGTCTCTACTAAAAATAGAAAGAAATCAATTGGCCAACTAAAATTACATAGAAAAAATTAGCTGGGCATGGTGGCACGTGCCTGTAGTCCCAGCTACTCAGGAGGCTAAAGCAGAAGGATCACTTGAACCCAGGAGTTTGAGGTTGCTGTGAGCTAGGCTGACCCCATGGCACAGTAGCCAGGGCAATAGAGTGAGACTCTGTCTCAAAATAAATAAATAAATAAAGGACCACAATATAATGTAGCAACTTAGAGCGGAAGTGAATGACTTGAAGCAGAGGCATATAAGTCTCTAAGGACACAGATAAAAAGTCAGTGACCATTTTGAAAAGGTCTCTAAAGCCTTGTAGTACAGAGCTGGCATTGATGAAAACAGAAGGAAACCTGATTACTATGGCTTGTCATATCATAATATTAGTTAAATTTACAGCCTAATAAATTGCTGCATTGATTGAGAAAGTGTGAGATAAATTTCAATAAATGAGGACATACTGGAAAATTAAAAAGAGTAAGAGTAACATAATTTTTTAACCATTTAGGAACACTGACCACTAAATCTCTCTCTCTGTAATAGAGTGAGAGAGGTGGAGAGTATTAGGATTTCAGAGAAATAATCTGAAGATAGTGCCTTGCAAGCCTTGTGAGCAATTGAAAATATTTTGACTTTGACTCTGAATAAAGGTGATTTTGAGACGACAAATGACATTACTGATTTATTCTTCAATATGATCCTTCTTACTACACTGTTGCAATAGATTGAAGGAGGGACAGGCCAGAAGTAGGAAGACCAGTTGGGAGACTCATGAAAGAGGTAATGGTGGTTTGAATTCATACAATAGCAATGGAGGTGGTGAAAAATGGTTACATCATAATATATTTTATAGACAAAGTCAGATGATGATGAATTAATGGATGTGAGTTTTGAATACAAGTAACAAAGTGTGATACCAAGGTTTTTGGCCTGTGAAACAGCATAAATGCCATAGTCATTAGCTAGAAATGGAGAACCCTAAAAGATGAGCAGCTTCTCCTGCTGGGTAAATGAAACTATGAGGTTACATGTCAGGCTTGTTATTAATAATTTTGCAACACTACAGACATTCACATGAACATGGAAAGTAGGCAAAAGGTCCAAGATGTAAATATAAACATAAAAGTCATCGGTATATAGACCATGTTATGCCAACAGTGAAACATTTTGGGATGAGATTTTCACAACTATACATACACAGCAATAAATTATATAACAGTTAGGAATATCTTCATATGTATAAAATAAAAACACTCTACTGTGGTCAGAAACCAATTGATGTATTTAAATTTTAGGAAGTATCCAGGTAGGCCATTCTAGCACAAATTTGGATACTTGAAGATTTCTGTAGAACTAGACTCCTTCTTGACTCACAAAAGTTGGTATGTGACTTTTGTCCTCATGGTTCCAAGATGCGCACTCCCATTCCAACCTCTTATTGAATTCCAAGCAAGAGAAGAAAGAAGTATAGGGCCAAATTCAAGAAAGCAAAGCTTTCTCAGAAATAACTACCAGACTTTGAATCTCGTTCACTAAAAAAAAAAAAAAAAATGTGATTTGACCATCTGTAGTTATGAGAGAAGCTACAAAATGTAAAAGGTTAGCTGGAGTTCACACATTGAGAAAAAGTAGAGACTACATGCCATATAAAAGGGACAATATTGCCAAAAACACAGTGTATTTTATTGGTGAGTGAGAGGGAATCATGATCTCCAGGGAGTGGGGATCATAATCTTCTAGAATGGTTTTCATATTAAGTACACACATAAATACACTCATTGCTATTTGAGTTATTATTCTAGGTAGAATTTTTTCCTTTTGAAATTATGCTCCCCATTCCTGAGGCATATAGAGGCATCAAATATATTAAAAGCATTAGATTAGACCTCAAAACTTTAGGGTAATACAAACTTGATATATTAAATAAAGCAAATACACTGTGATTTTTTTGATACTTTTACTGTAATAAATGCCAATGGGAACCAATGTATTCATATTCTTAAGTATTGCTTCTGTTCCATCTTTATGTTCTTGTGGGAAGCACATTTTCACATTGCCTTAAGTGCTCTGTGATTATATGATATATATTCCATACAGCTGTGGGAGGATTTCTCAATCTTATATTAGAAAAGACAACACCCTGGTTCTTAAAAAAGAAAAAAATATTAGATCATTCACTTTTTCTAAATCATATGATCTTCTTGAATTTTCTTCTTTACAATACTCACATGCACATGCACCACATACTCAAGTTGGGGGTATCCATCAGATTCCAAAGAGAGTAATTTTCATAATCATAAAGGGAACTGCATCATATAGAAACTTGTATCTGTGGACCAAGAGAAAATATATTGTATTTTAGAGCAGACTTTCTTTCCACCAGTGATTCACTAAATGACCTATTTCTCAAAGAGGATATGAAGTTTAACTACTTAAGAAAAAAAAAAAATGGAAAACTCTTTTCCAGCATATAGGACTATGATATTCTGAATTTCAATATAGAAATGAAGTGACTTCACATATTGACAAATATGTTTTAAATATGTACTATGTGCCAGGCATTGGAAATAAGGGAGTCCTACTACAATGTTGAAAGAATACAATTTCTAATATCATCCTTTTTAAAATTTATACTGAGAGGCATTTGTTTAGCCTTAATAACATTTTTTCATGATATAAAATAATCTATATTACTTTTAACAAACTTAATTTTTGTGAGAAAATCTTTCAGTTTTTTCCATATTTTAATGACCTTTATAACAGAAGTTGTAGTCAATGAAAATAGTAGTTAACGTTTTGAGCACTTAGTCATGTATTACATATGTATGTATTAGATATGCAAATGTATCACTGCATTTCAACCTCCATAAAAACCATATGGCCACTGTCATTGTCTCCATTTTACAATTTTGGAAACTAAGACTTAAAAACATGAAAATTCTCAATGACATAGTAGGTGATGCATCTTGGATAGAAAACCACCTCATTTTTATTAGAACCCTGGCTATTAGACACTTCGCTTTTGTTTTCACTACTATTTTTTGCTGTATTTATGGTTTTTCATGTTGTATTTCTCCATAAGCAATCTTAATTTCTGCTACTATTGACCAATAGTTCATTACGTTGTCCTACTACTTGGCAAAAAGAGTGCTAAGTGAAATGAACAACGATGCTTAAAATAAAACCTGCTTGTGTTCAAGGCTTACCTTCTGAATGGGGATAAAAATGCATAAAGACAATTGTGATTGATACAACTTTTTATGGGCTGCTATTATACAGTTTCATCAGAGAGCAAAAAATCCAGACTTCGACAGGTCAAGGAAGGCTTAATGGAGGAATGATGTCTGAGATAACACATGAGAAAAGACTTGTCATTTTCCAGTACTCCTACTTATTCAACATGCAAAACATTTCACTCCACACATAAAATCTGTCTTATAAATTATTTCACTTATTATTTGTACCTCTTTGGTATATGTCTGACCTATTACAAAGATTTATTTCCAGAAATCGACATTATTTTCAACTCTCTCTTCCAAAATGTAATCTCAGTCTGCAAGAGTTCCTGTTACAAGTGAGTAATTTAGGGTAGTGAATATATATATACCTCCTGCCTGTCTCCCCTCCCTATAATACCTTCCTGACTTGTTTCTTCTCTCCTCTCCTAATCATTCATTTCTATCCTCCTAAACAGGCTCAGAATGCCATTCCCTAGGTCCATGTAGGCATCTAGAAGCCCAAAATGGTTAGCCAAATCTTTTTGCCCCTTACTACTGAAGAGTGTTTTATGAATATTACAGTATTCAAGCCCCATATTTACATGTGCAATATTACCAAGATAATAGATTACATATAAATATTTTAGTGCTGTGTCAACTCTTTGCACATATACCAAAAACTCATTTATAAGGCATGTTTCACCACTTCATTTTTTTTTCTTATAAGCCTATATGGAGGCATTGTTTACCAAATAGTCCCTTGGGATATACATTCTTCATTTCTTTATATTCTTTTCTTATTTTCTTTCTAACAATTAATAAATTGTAATGGATTTTGATAAAATCATTTAATTTGCCAAAGAAATTATTTTTCATTCTAGCTTCCTTCCCTTTCTCCACTTTTCTCAGCTTTTTAAGCATGTGTCAATATAATTTTCTTACTGTAAACTTCAATACAAAAAATGGCCACTAAATGCTTTTTAAGACTTTCATTTTTGCCATACACTTGGAAATCGCTTACCCAGAAATGCTGTGGAGGTTATATACAAATGATTTTGATTTTCATCTTCTTCATTCAAACACTTTTAGTGAAGTTGCCCCATTACTGCCAAAGTGATGTCAAAATCCCTCTGCAGCTTTCCATAAAACTAAAGTTGAAGCAAAAAAAGATCTTACAGTGTATTAGATTTAGTGATTTTATTTTACAGATGAGAATAATATTATTAAGAGATAAAATAATTTATTCATGATCACGTAGCTTTTATATGGTAGAAGTAAGGCTAGAAGTAACTTGTGAATTTTATTATACAGTGCAACATTCCTTATGTCACCTGCCTGCCTACTATTGAACTTTTCTCCCAACATGTAAAATAAAGGGAAGGATGAAGAGTCCTCACACAAAGTTCCTGCATTTTTATCTCACTGACTAAAATTTTTGAAAGCAATATTCTTTGCATTTAACTCTTACTGGAAGTTTTCTTTGGATACAATCTAGTCAACTAAACATTAGATAATAAGAGGAGAAAATAAATATTTTGTATATGGTGAGAGATAAGGATCCAGTTTCATTCTTCTGCATAGGGGCTCTCCAATTTCCCAGCACCATCAAACTCAAGATGGATTAAAGATTTAAATGTTATAACTATCACCATAAAAATTCTAGAAGAAAACCTAGGAAAAGCCCTTCTGGATATTGGCCTAGGCAAAGAATTTATGGCCAAGACCCCAAAAGCAAATACAACTAAAACAAATATAAATAAATGAGACTTAATTAAACTAAAAAGTTTCTGCACAGCAAAAGAAGTAAATAGATAACATACAGAATGGGAGAAAATATTCACAGACTATACATCCAGCAAAGAACTAATATCCAGAATCGAAAAGAAACTTAAACCATCAAGAAAAAAATAATAATCTCATCAAAAAGTGGGCAAAAAACACAAGCCAAGTATCTGCTGCCTTCAGGAAACACATCTAACCTGCAAGGATGCAATTAGACTAAAGTTGAACACCCTTTCTACCACTTTACAATCTGATGTTAATACTTATTTCAATATTTATTTTCTTAGTTACAGTTGCATTTTTATTTCACCCATTAAAACAAGTAAAAACGAGACTCAAACAAAGGACAACCACATGAAATTACTCTCCTCTTTTTTCCTTCTGATCCAGAGCAATTCTTCAGTTTCTACCTTAGTACATTCTCCCATCTTTCTTAAGTTCTTACCAAAATCCTGTAAGCTTGAAAAACTTTTGAAAAGTGTTCAGTGTAAGTTAGTATAGCAATCCAAAAGATTGGGATGAAGTAGATAAAAAGGAGATTGCCATATTCTTGGTCAATATGCTACTAACTGTGGAAGGCTTGTGGAAAAAAAAATCCCTAAATTTGATCACTTTAAATACTGCAAATATTAAATTACTAGTCAATATCCTGCCGGGCGCGGTGGCTCACACCTGTAATCCTAGCACTCTGGGAGGCTGAGGCGGGCGGATTGCTCAAGGTCAGGAGTTCGAAACCAGCCTGAGCAAGAGCGAGACCCCGTCTCTACTATAAATAGAAATAAATTAATTGGCCAACTAATATATATATAGAAAAAACTAGCCGGGCATGGTGGCGCATGCCTGTAGTCCCAGCTACTCGGGAGGCTGAGGCAGTAGGATCACTTGAACCCAGGAGTTTGAGGTTGCTGTGAGCTAGGCTGATGCCATGGCACTCATTCTAGCCTGGGCAAAGTGAGACACTGTCTCAAAAAATATATATATATCCTTAGTCATGTAAATAGCTATATTGAACTCACATATTCTATGTCCTCTCTACTCAGTTATTTATACATATTCTTATTTAATCTTCATAAATACCCCATGAGTTTGATGCACATTATTCTCACTTTACTGATGAGAAACTGAGGATCAAAAAAGAATTGGTAAAATTGACCAAATCTACATAGCTGTAAGTAGCAGAACTGAGTGGAGCCAATATTTTTATTTCTCTACCATGATGAATAAATATGGGAAAGTGAAGCTATTCTATTAATATTTCCCTTCATATTACTTTTCTGCCTAAGAATATTGTTGTAGAAAAATGCTAGAGATAATACACACAAAGTGTGTATGTAACACAAAGCTTGAAAACACGGCAGATGCAGCAAATGGTAGTTAATATTAATAGCATTCAGTGTCTTCTCACTGCTTTAGGAGAAAGTTCAAACTGCTCAGAATGTCTGTTTAATCTGCTTTCCCTGTATTCACCCCTTGTCATGGTCTCATAAAAAGTCTCTCAGATCCTAGAGTCTTACTATTCCAAATCCATTCACGCGTCCGGGCTTTCTATCCTGGCTCACTTCATGTAAAATGCTGCCAGTTCAACTCACACCCCTTACATAAAGGTGCTCCTGATTCAAGCACCTTGTGTGTACATTTCTGCATTCTTCATATGTCTACGACATTTACTTGGCACAATGCAACTTGGTTTTATACATTATTTGGTGTATGCAGGTCTTTTTTTGCCCCTAGAGAATAGGTATGTTATATCTTACTATTCTATTTCAGAAAACAAAATTTCTTTTAAAACTAGGTGTGAGTATAAGTGAAATTATCATCACCTCCACTACTGTCACCATCACCACCACAGCCACTGCCCTGTAGTTCAAATAGATTTCCTATATCATGTATGATAGTGTTTGCCCATAATAAGCTCATGATAAATACAACATTGATTAGGATTTGTATTCTCAATTGAAAGCAGCATATTTTTTAAAATTTTTCCCAAACTACTAAAAAATGTATATTTATGGAAATTCAAATTAAATCTATACCTTAGGTAACACTGAGCTATCATGCATAAAGAATATCTACAACTTTTTTACAAAATGGAAATTCATTTGAAAAAAACATGCTAAGCTCATAAACTGAAACTTCAGACACTGGACTACATTCTTGGGTAAAGAAAATTCCCTTTTCTCATCTTTGTTTACAGCTAGCAATTCTAGACTAAACTCCATTAAGTAGGGAAATTCTGATGCTCTTTTGCTGTACACAAACCGTACATTCACTGTAAACACAATGAGGGAGGTAGGAAGTACACATCTCCAGAAAATAGACAAAAAAGCATACTGATCACTACATATTTTGACAAAGTAGATAATTATATCAACAAAAGTTAAGGGCATTTTAACATCTAATGAGATAGGCTAAATTAAAAAACGATACTACTTCATTTCTGATTTTGTGATATCATATGATACACAGAATTAGTTTTCAAACAGAAACAGAAGCTTATCTTTAAGTTCTGCTTAAAAAAACAAATGAAAAAAACATTTGTTTGCATATGCAATTGATAAATGATCTACAGTACTATATAGAGTCATTTGGGTTTTAACTTAATTCTCAGCATTTATAAAACTTTCACATTATTTTCTATGCACCAAAAATGTATTTTTATGTTCCATGACTTTTTGTTACATAATCTTTCATCTGTGCTGGGGTAGAGAGTATGTGTGTATATGTATATAAAATCTTTCTCAAATGTATTGAAATGATACTTTAGCAAGTCAAAGGATTTAACCTCAGTTTTCAATAAGTACTGTTAAAAGATATTTTAAAAGATCTACCCCATAACCTATGTTTAATGTTTAAATAATCAGTCTTTATTGCCCATTTTGACACATCAGAAACGGATCACTTTATGACTCTCATTTAGCTGACACATCTGGATCACTGTTTTTCTCTTTTAAGTTGTTATCAAGTGGGGTTAGGTAATTAGCAACATCAAAACTATGTGCTGCTATAGGTTCATTAAGATAAAAAAAAAACCCTAAAAAATAGTATCAGTCAAATACCTTAATGATTTATCTCACTACATCCTTGTCAATAATAGGTTTCTCAAAGATATGCTGGAGAACGGAGGCCAAAGGAAAGATTTTAAACTATAACTGTCTCAAACTCTTGGAAAACTGGGAACTATTTACTGCTAGAACAATTACATTGTTGATTTGGCTTTCAAAACTGATTTATAATTTTAGAAGTCATGTTAAATAGAATACTATAAATGACCTTTTGGTTAAAAAGT